ACGCACACGCACACGCACACGCACGACACCACACATGGCACGACACACGCTCACATGTGTGCGTGTGCGGTTGTAAAGGGATCGAGGTTCCAGAGGATCTTCGAGGGCGCGCACGACGACGACTTTAGCGGCTACGAGGTGCTGACCGAGGCCGAGGACACGTCCAGGGGCAAGGGCAGGCAGTAAGAGAGAGACGGGCCATCCACCCCTGCTTTTGTATTTTCTTCTCCACCGCCGCTGGCAAACACGCTCCAGATTCAAGCGAGGAACACACGCACACGTGTGCGCACGCACCGCGCGTGCGTGTTTGGTTTGAGTTGGTTGCGAGAAACCTGAGGCAGAGCACGCGCGCCAGTTGGCTGCGTGTGCGTTGTGCGAAAGTTCTGGGAAAGAACCGATCACGAGAGCTCCAGGCCTCGTGGACCCAATACTGCTCCGCAAGGAGACATGACTGTCGTCTCCCTCTTCTCTGGTTGTGTTCATCTTCTGTTGTGTTCAACTCCTCCTCTACACGGCCACTCCTCGCCACGCCAGCTGCATCAACCTGCTCGAGCAGAACCACCAGAGCCAACTCATTTATTTATTATAAAAAAGAAAACGAAAAGATGGGCGGAGCAACATCATCCCACTCCAAGTATGCGAGCGATCCTCGCTCCGAGACGCGTGAGAGCATCCAAGAGCGGATCGACAAGAACAAAAAGTACCCCCTATTCCCGTCTGCGGACTTTAAAGTTATTAGAGATTTTATTCATTTCTATTATTTACCTGTTTCTTGTGCTTTAATCATAGAAAAATAGAGAAGTTGGAGAAGGAGAACGAGGTGTTGGGTCGGCGACTGCAGAAGGAGGCCGAGCGGAGTGCGGCCGAGGCGCCATGGGACGGACGCACCATCCGACGCCACAGCGCCGGCGGACCCGAGGACTCCATGCCCTCCGGCCTCACCCCGCGCTCCGCCCTCCTCCAGGGCCAGACCCAGAAGCAACAGCAGAAGAGCAAGCGCACCTCCTAATCTTCACCAACGACGATGGTGATGGTGCAGAGATGAGATTGCTGCAGATCTGCATAGATGTGCAGATGTAGCACAGATGGAGGTGAGACTACGGGAAGAGGCTACGGGAAGCACGTGTACAGACCCACCTTACAGTCGCAAATATTTATTTATTATATTCACATAG